ACCTTCTTGAAAACATTCATATAGATACTCCAAGATTACGAAATCCTGATGGAATGGTGCACTGGTGGTCACCTAGGTGGTTATTCACATACCTGAATGAAAAACAATATTAGTACACATGTTTGTCTCAACATACCCATAAAATCAATTAATATCAAAAATGTATTTGTATAAATGCCCTTCGGAATGCTAATCCTTCTACATTATTATCAATATTTTCAAATATAATATTTTCTGCAATATTGACCACATCTTCTGCTTCTTCATCTTCAAAAATATCATTCATCTGCCTTCCAATATTATGCAATACTGCTGTTGCACAAATTATAGTGGCAGATGTCTCTAATTTTGTGTTGAGTGTTCTTTTCAAGCATGGGAATCTTCGCTTCCAAATGCCAAACACTCTCTCTACAATATTTCTTGTACTTCCGATGTGCTCTATTGTAATTCCTTTCAGTGACATTGCTTGGATTCAAAACAGGAGTCAACAAGTACCTCTTGCACCCATATCCATTATCACCCAGTATAATACCTGAGATTTAAATAAATATAATATATATTAGATACTTCTCTTTCCTCATTGCTGCCATTAATAGTTCAGAAAATGGAAAAATCAAATCAGATAATTGAAGATGCCCAATGGATATTACCATCTAGCTGATTCTCTTCAAACAAAATTCGTAGAGCACTTTGGGCAAATATTGTGTTATCATGGGTTGATCCTGGATGTCTGACAACAATATCTAAAATTTCCATATTTGGACCACATGCAACCTGAGAGCAAGAGGAGTAGGTATTAGCTAATAGCACAAAATATAAGGTGAACCATTTATAATAGGGACCTGGACATTCAGTGAAAATTGTCCTTTCCTGTTACGGAAAATTTCTCCAATATCTCCACCAGGATTCAAAATTGAGATATGGGTTCCATCAACACAAGCTGCAACATTTGGAAATCCGGCTATTGTGTGAAATTTCCTTATATTTTCTTGTTGGCCATCAGCATCAGGAAAATGTATGAAATTGTTCAAATGTTCTGCCAAAGCTATGGACACCCTTTTGATTATAAATGACATTGATGCCTGTGATATTCCTCTTAAATCACCCCCATCAATCTGTAGCATACATAGGAACAATTTGAAATCATTGAAGGATAAATTCAAATTAATAAACCTTTGGTAAACCTGGGTAATAAACCATACCTGAAAATGACCTGTAGCATAATATCTCAAGCTAGCCAGAAGTTGAATGACTGGTGCTATTGGCAATCCTCTATTGTTGTTCTTCATCAGGGAATGGGTCACAAGTGGTAAGATAGTATCCCTAACTATCACTTTGGGAAAACGATATCTCCTTCTGAATTCTACATCCCTATAGAATGTGAATGGGTCTTCAACATCTCTGATGTAACGTTTAGGGATTCTGTTGATCACTTCGTTCTCTTCTACTCTTTCAATGAAATCAAGAAAATCATCCAAATCCATATTTTCTTGCAAAATAATGAAATGTAACCTAGAACTTGTCAACAACCAAAGACAAAACTCAAAATATTCAAACAAAACACCTGTGAGAGACCTGAAATCTCACCGAAAACTGACTTGAGGAGTGCTCAAGGATTGCTCAAGGTACCCTTCTACCTACCTCGACATTGAAAGGTACTTGAGGCTTCCTTCCAACTCATATGATGACTATAAAACAGAAACTCGTCCTCAAGGAATCCTTGAGGGACGAGGTCGCCTTAAGGAGCGACTATAAATACGGGCCTAAGAACTTCGGTATCATTAACTTGAGATGGGTTGATATTGTCACTCTCTGTATATACGAAATGTGTGTCAGATGGATGTTTTGATCGGAGCTCTGCTAAAGTTTGATCGTCAAAAGTGGTGATCGTGTCAGTGGAAGTCAGAATTCGTATAGCCGTGATATCCCCATCGGAAACTTTATCAATGATGCGTTTAGTCGTTGAGTTTCGGCGTAGATGAGGAATAAGTTCTAGGAATACTCTGCGTGGAAATGATAGGACTATTGATGTTTCTCTTGATGATTGTCGTTAGGGGTTCCTTACGATTTTGATAAAAAATAATAAATCTTCCCACGCTTCAAAGGAGTTGGGAGTGATGCAGTTGTCAATTGCAATCTTCAAAGCACCAGCAGCGCTCGCTCTAGTTGATTTTGGAATCCTTCTTATAATGCACGAATTCATTTTCTGATGGGCTAAACGGAAATTTAATCGACGAGAGGGGGTTACACCGTCTGGTATGTTCATTCGATAGTGAATTGATACTTTGATCACTAATTTGTGAGAAAGGGTGCACTTTTCCTGGATGAATATTCAAACCTCTTCTCGATTTGAAAATTTTATTGCATAATGTGCAATGAAGAGCTAGATTAGAATGTGAACTTTCTTGAATTGGAGTTCTTTGGTAATCCTTGGTTTTATTTTCTTCGAGTTCATCATCTGCGAAACAAATATCTTCACTATTGGTATTGAATTTCATTTCATTGAATCCAGGACTAACACTATAGACATTTCGAAAATTTTGAAGTTTCTTGAGCTTGAATGTCACCAATTTCACGAATTATTCTGAACCATTAGAAGAAAATTCCAGCATTCTCTTCAATGTCACATCAAAAGAAAGCACTCGCCAGCAATGTGCCAAATTTAAATCAATTTTGGAATCAATAATTTTCAAGAAACCAACGCAAATCTTTTTCACAGTTGACGTTAATATAATTTAATATTCATTAACATTCAGAAATCATTACATACTGTCAATATGTTCAAAGAGTATTGGGAATGAATAATAAATATCATTACTATCCATTACTATGTAGATTACTTAGGATCCATTGATGGAAATTGACGTTAAAGTCATCTTAACAGGGAACAGGGTATCTAGAGACTTTAGTTTTTTCTACTGGCATCCCTGACATTGCTGTCACGTCACGTCCATGGGCGCTACAGAAAATCATACAAAGTTTTGATGAAGGTAGGGCGTGTTTTTCATTCCATCGAATAAAGTGCGCACTGATAGATGCGGTTTTTTGTCGTGACGTCACTAATTGTTCTGTTGGAATTTATGCTGGAAGAATTGAACAATGGTTTATACAACACATTGATGGAAACACGGATTTTGTTGTGTGCCAGTCATCATGTATCTTGAGAATCAGAAAAGGCTAATTCGACTTTATTTATTAACATTGACTCTTATTCCTAAAATCTCTCAAGAATCTCAAAAATCCTCAATATTAATTGTTTTCTATCAAATCAAAACAAAAAACAACACTAAAATGTGTCAACTGTCATGTCAATCTCCTCCAAACTGCTGGATTCTCGAAATGCGATTTAAAAGTGCGCATTTTATTACAAGAGTTTGTTGGAAGTCCATCAACATTCCAGCGGAATTTTGCAACAGTTTGATGGTTTCTTCGATTCATGCGCATGATGAAATGTTGGAATGAAAAACGCACCCGTATGTACAGGGTATTTACTTGTTGAGGAAGATCATATGGGGATCGTCGAGTTTTGTAATTATGATCCGATCCTATTCAAAATTGGTATCTGGGGGTTTTCGGGATAGAAGATAATGATTGTTTCGTGGAAATTGAAAAATTCAGGATCGAATCGAATATGGCGAAAGACATTTCTAATTATGATCTGATGATTCTATTTAAGTTTGGTATCTGGGGGTTTCGGGGTCGACAAAATTGGGATATTCAAGATGGCGGATCGAATATGGCAAACGAGATTTGTAATAAATAGTTGTTTGGATAATCAATTGAACACGCGTTCATAGTTACCTAGTCGAATTAAGAAGACGTAGAGCATAAAGGGCGCCGTACATTATGCTATTTCTCGGCAAGTTTGAGGCAATGCAATTTTCTCGCAATTTTCTCAATTTATTGCGAGTCGCCGTACATTGAGATGTTTCTGTCATATTTTCTTATTCATATTCACTATTTTCAGGTTTTTTTGAGCCTAAATGTACTTTTTGAGGTTATTTGGTGTTTCAGGCATGGAGAAAATTTGTATTTTATCAAGATGCTACGATGAATATTACTATAATTTTACTAAACTTGCCTTGAAATTGCAGGAAAAATAGGACTGGTTCTATAACAAAACTTGCATGAAACATGCCGTGAAATATCATAGACGCATGCGCATTGTTCGATTCAAAATTGCATTGCATCGAACTTGCTGGTAAATAGCATAATGTACGGCGCCCTTTATAATAGATACATGCCCTATAGCGAGGTTGGGTGAAATTCAGGTAAAAAGGTAGGTACCTGCTCTATCTTTAACTACTTTTTGGCATGAACATGGTTGTTGTCACATGGCCTAGTGTCAAGAGGGCACCACTAACTTTTTTTTTCAAATGTAAAGGGGGTCACGCGGTTCCTGTTTTTGAAGGCCTTTTGAATCTATATCCAACTCCACTTAGTTTGTACAAATCGGCCAAGCAGTTTCGAACCGAGTTTCAAACTCACAAACCTTTGAAATTCATTACGGAAACATTGAATAGGTAACGCTCAGAATTAATTCTGCCAATAAGTGGACGGTGAACATTTTGGTGAGAATTACGTCATTTGACAGGTCGCTGTTGGGCAAACATTGTATTTTGCCATGATTTGTCATATGAAACCAAATCAGAATTAGTGGGATCATTTTCCTTGGAATCCGAGTTGGAACCCAAAAGAATTTCATCATTTCGTTTGGTGAAACTGATGTGGCCGGGCTATGCTCATCAAAATTCAAAGCCTCAAAGCTAACCTATTAGTGTGTCGCCAAGGAACCATGTCAAAATCACGTTTGGTTCTAGGATGGTCAATTTGAAATTACAAGAATGAAACCGACACCCATGCTACGGTCTGTCACTACTGTCAGTGTCATAAATCACAAGTGTCAACGACCACATGACACACGTCCAACACACGTCTCACACAATTCTCACACATTGACATCTTGACAAGTCAATGACAACACGACAGCGCGACACTGCAAGAATATGAAAAATATTTTGTTGATGTGATGATTTGAATGATGTGCTACGTGTATAATCTGAAAATGCAGATGTCTAAAAATGAAAACAGTAGTAATTGATGTATTGAATTAATTATTGGACGTTTTGTTTCAATAATACATAAATATTATAGTGTGGAAGTGTTGTTGATAAGAACTAGAAAGATAAACAAATTTCGTTGCTTATTCTTTTGACGTTTAAACTTGAATTTTTGAAAGAAAAATCCTGTGAAAAATCTGTGATAATCTATTGTAAAGTTTAATTTGTAATGTGTCGTAGATAATAATAATAATTATAGAAAATGTTATATGGTAAATTGAGAATACACACCTGTAGAGTGATACTCTTAACTTCCTTGGTTTGGTTCTTAGTTGATGTGGTAGTTTTATCATTTTATTCTGAATGTCTTGCTGGCTCCTGCAAAAAATTGGAAAAAACAGTAGCTGGAGCAGAAGCTCTAGTTGATAATGAGAGTGACTATGATCAAAGAAGCCAAGAAAATGTGGGCAAGAGAAGGTATGTGAACTTTATTATTTGAACATCAAGTAATCCCTTTTTTATAATACTACTGTTGCAACTATCAGCTTGGATGTGGTAGTGTTGAATTTCTGTTGACAGTCCCTAGATTTCTTATTCATGAAAAGGGACTTGTATATCTTTCCTATATCTTACAACCCTTACAACCTAATCTACCTACCTATGTAGGTAATCCAAGCTGCAAGAATTTAAGGTTTTCTTGCAACATAGAAAAATCTCATGGAAAATATTGATGGCAAATGGGGGACCAGGTTGAATTTGTGTAAATTTAAATAAATAATGTTCAATAATGGCCCAGTTATTTGAAAAAAATATTGATCATTTTGTTTTTTTCTTTCAGTGTTGGCATCATTCCAGAGTCTGGTGTTCCTCACACATACAAACCCAGCATGTTGCGTAGATGGAAACCTGCTCCCTCTGTGCTATCAGTTTCAGGCAGGCCAGGTGAGCAAGGCAAAGCAGTTCACATACCATCTGAGAAAGAGGCCTTGATGAAGGAGAAGTTCAAGCTCAACCAGTTCAACTTGTTAGCTAGTGACATGATATCTCTGAATAGGTCACTAGCTGATGTAAGGCTAGAGGGGTGAGTGAAATCATGTTTTCAAGATTGAAAATGACATATTTCTGGTATTCCACCAACATTCTATGTCAATTAACAATTATTTCACTGTTATATACCTAGGCATTTTATTAGAAAACCTGTTTTTACAATTTGTCAGTAACATACAGTTCCTATAAAAATCAGCTACATAATGAAGTGTCTCTTTTCATCTACTATACATTGGATGAGACAGAAGACTACTATAAAAAAAATTTCCAAAGCTTGACATATACATTTCAATCATCAGTGTGAGTCCAATCAAAAATATTGAAAAAAAATCTGTCATGGATATATGAAGTAAATAATCCTAAATAGCCAGGGCATACAAAAACAAATTCAGTTGTTTGAAAACAGTACAAAATGGTGTAGTTTGTTTGTTGCAGTATTAAGTATGTATGTTCAGGATCATCCATCAAATTGCACTATTTATTGTGAAAATTAATGAAATTTGAAAAATAAAAATTGATTATCATAAAAATCTCCCTATAGATTTGGATTGATCTGATGAGAAACAATTATTGTTTTTATGCCAATCAAACCTCAAATTAGTTTGTGATTGTCAGAGTGGTTGGCTCCGAGTTGGCTCTACTAAAATGTGAGGCCAGTGTCAAAGTCCAAAAATCCCAAAATTTTGCTGGATAGCCCTAAAAGCTATGGCCTGTTTCATGTAAAATATTTCGAAAAAATTATTCATTATATTTTAACAAATAGAAAACCTCAAGTTATCCAAAGACATGAGCCATCTTACGTTTTTTTACTCTCAATGTGGAACTTATTCTTACATTGACAGAGAATAGTAGACTATCTGAAGTAATGTCCACTTCACCCATCTGTTTAGTGAATAAAAAGTATTTTATAAGTAACTAGCTGACCCTGCAATGAACATTATTTCTAGAAAACATTTTTTTAGATGAATATTTATCAAAATACTTATTACTTTATTTCTACTTCTTTTTAGTTGAGCACTCTATATCTCTTCATTTTTTCAAACTACTCTTTATTTTCTACTCACTTCTTTTTAGTTTGGCTATCTATAAAAATGTGTTTCATTAGTTTTTCAAACAACTATTTATTAAAATAGCTGATGCAGCAAATGTTGTTTTGCTATAGACATTAATTTCTTGAAAATATTTTTTTAGTTAAATATTTACCAACACATTTTTATTATTTTTCTTTCTACTTTTTTTCAGTTTGGCTATCTATATAATTGTGTTTCATTAGTATTCCAAACTACTATTCTTATTTTCTACTTCTTTTTAGTTTCTATCTATCTATTAATTTTTTACTTTTCAGTTTGGCCTTGAGTTTGGCTATCCATAAAAGCTTGTTTCATTATAGTTTCTCAAACTACTATTTATTACAAAACTCTCTCGCCATATTGGATCCGCCATCTTAAATTTCCCAATTTTAAAGAATAAAATCATAATCTCTGACTCCGAAAACCCCCAGATACAAATTTTGAATGGAATCAAATCATAATTACAAAACTCGTCTGCTATATTGGATCCTCCATCTCTAATATCCTAATTTTGATGAAAGAATCATAATCTCCAGCGTCAAAATCCCCCAGATACAAATTTGGAATAGAATCTGGTCATAGTTACAAACTATAATATATTTACTCTATACTATATTTTTCACGGTCTAAGTATTGGGTTTCCTGGTATGAATAGGTATTTTAGTCTTATTATATTTTCACCTACTTGTTTACTATAAATTAAACATGAAAATAACCGCTGTTTTATTGGGAACACAATGATATAGGGTCGCCCACAAAAAGTCTTTCCCCGATTGCCGAATGACGGTCGTCGAATTTGAAAAAAAGTAAATTTTAGTGCGTCTGTATGAACGTGCGACAGAGAGGTCCGAGAAAAATATCTACCATCCTGTATCTACCAAAATCTATTCCACAAATGTCATACAGGACAGACTCTTTGTGGGCAACCCTATATCATTGTGTACCCAATGAAACAGCTCTTATTTCTATGTTTAATTTATAGATTAAGCAAGTAGGTGAAAATAACTAAGACCAAAATATCTGTTTATACCTGGCAAACCTATAGTTAGACCGGGAAAAATATCGGCAACCCAACATTTGCATATATTCTATACAGGGTGTGATTTAATTGATGGCTGAAAATATAGGATATGGTTCCTTAGCTCATTTTAAGAAGAAAAGTTCATATGAACATATTTCCTAAACCTCTTAACTTTTGAACTATAGGGTGTTCACATTTTCTTTTCTTTATTGATTAAAGAAACTTTCACAATGTGAAAAACTGTCACGTTTATGAATACTTGTCAAAATTAGACTGCAACCTTATCGATCAAATGTCATTATTTCAAATACAAAATAGGGTATTAGCCTACTAGTTCAAAATAATTCATGTCATGCCACAAATGTATGAAAATTGTTTTTATTTTTTTACACAAAAATGGTTCGTCGGACAGAAAAAAAATTTGGAGGTCAAATTGTTGCAAAAAAATGAGGATTCCAAAAATGTTTCTTTATTCTCGAAAAAATAAAAGGCGTACAATATATTTTTCAAAAAATCTCCCTTACGTACGCCACTGGTAGAGATATTAAAAAATCTTGTTCATCATGAAAATATCTAAAACGTTATTAAAGTTATGATAAGAAAACGCTTTTTTGCTTAACATTTTAACGCCATAACGCCATATAGGTCGAAAGTTAAGAGGTTTAGGGCATATATTATTATGTTGATATAAACTTTTCTTCTCAAAATCTAAGGAACCATATCCTTTATTTTCGGTTATCAATTGAATTACACCCGTTATATTAAAACCTCCAAAAGTTCAAAAAAATCCAACACCTACCTATGTCCTCCCTAGGTACGCGCAATGTTCCAGGAACATTATAGGAATTTCCTTTCGTGCGCTCCAAGAGATAGAAAAAGGCTTTCTACTTACGGTTGGTGTAATTTTCTTTCATTATACTCATAGGTAGAAATCAAAAAAAGATCTCTGAACTTTTAATTAATTATAGCCTTGCCAGGATTTTTTCAGGCAACCCATTTTTTTATCATTTTTAACATACCAAACTACTTTCATCCATTAAACAGATGGGTGAAGGTAGACCTTATTTCGGATCTTAGACCAGAAGAAGATATCCTAGCAAGATGCCAAATGCAGGAAAATAAGAAGTATATTTTTCAGTTCTACCAACCCTGCCCTCAAGTTTCGGTGGCGCGGTTTGGTCGACAATAAATGTTAGCCCTCATAGCTCAGTAAAACGTTAACGATTAGGACCCAATCCGGGAAAAAATTCAAGTTGTCGGTTTCTCTGTGGTTTTATATGTAATTGGAGGTGCTGAATTTGAATCTGAATTCTGCAAACAAAATTTCCTGGCGCGTTCGGAGATATTAAAGTATAACCATATGAAAGTTAGATTGTAGTAAATGTTAATAGTAGATAAAGCTGATACCTCTAGGTGAGTTTGTGATGGATAATTCTTCATCGACATCAAGATCCTGGTCGTTCTGTAGATCATACTGCACGATATTGCTGCAGTATCCTTCACAATTTGCACACATCTTCGAGGAATGCGTAGATTTGGAATTATCTGCGAAAACCGACGAAAAACGCTATTTTTTGAAAAGTACGCAAATTTGGTCAATTTTCAACTGGCTCTATCTCTGCACTCGTTAGTCCTACATTCATGAGCAATAACAATAATTATATTTAGGAAATTTTATCTAGTTCAACTTTCTATGGAGCGGTCTTTTCGATATAACGTATAATTTCCGAGTTATTGGCAAAAAACCGAAAAAAGTCCGAAAATATTGCTGTTTTTTGCCAATATCTCGGAACGCTCCAGGAAATTTTGTTTGCAAAATTCGGATTCGAATTCAGCACCTTCAAATACATATGAAACCAAAGAGAAACCAACTGCTTGAATTTTTTCCAAGTGAAAATACCATTTGATTGGACTATCATTGCCACAATGGATCATACGCGTTTTATTGAATAGTGAAAAAATAAAAAAAAGGAAAACACCAAATATCCTAGTAAATGTCTGAAACCTAGAGACCAAACACTTTATGGGCATGCTGGCTTCCGCAATGAACCTACATAATAGGGACGGACATTCTTTTATTCACCGGTGGCTCCATCAATCCACCAACTGCGTTTATATTATTCTTTGGTGGATTCCAGTTTGACGTAACCACGCGTTCATTTATTACTGTTGTGTCAACTAAAATTGCAAACTATTCCACCGATGTACAGAGATGGTGGACGAATTTTGGTGGTTTTCGAAATGACAGCGACAGCATAACCTCAAAAAACTAAATACAAAATATTGGATTTGAAAACTGTTTGCCATTTGCCTAAAAATATGGATGAATTAATCGATATCGGCCTAGAAATATGAAAATGAAAGAATAGCTGCATTATTGACACCAACAGAAATTGAAGAAATTTCAAGTGGTAGGTACTTTTTTCTTTCCCATCATGAATTTCGAGAAATTAGTGCAAACATTCAGGAAACTTGGGTACCAACAGAGAATTCTTATTGATGTCTTTATCCATAGCATCAAAATTTAATGCAATATTTTGTATATAGGTTGTTGAGAATTTTCAACCTATCTCGTCTACTCCCAAACATGAACAATATTTCATCCTCGGCACTATCAGAAAAACTGCTAGAACTTCTGGATCTGGAGACAAGGACTCCGATAACACTTTCAATACATCATTTTCCATTTTAGATTAGTTTTCGCCAATTCTGAACTTCTAATTGGAAACAATCCAAATTCCCATCAAATCACGAAAAGAAAAATATATAACGGACAAAACGGTTGTGATTGTCATGTCAAATACTTTTTTTTTCAACAGTGATGACTCCAACAATTCACTATGCCACATCCTGAATTGTGACCAAAGAGTAGGCGCCTTTCCTAATTCCTCCATGTATTTCAAAAAAGTACACTTTCCGAAAAAGATTGTATTTCTGTATTCT